GGCACCTGCCACAATGCATGGCTATTTTTTTGTTGCAGTTGTCATTATTGTTTTAGCTGGCCTGGGCCGGGTTTGAACCTACCCAGCCTCTGTGTATGTGGCCGGCGCCCTACCCCCTGAGCTACAGGCACTGCCCCATTGATAATTTTTTATGGTTTTCTTGCAGTCCTTCAAACATGCCAGCCAGCTCCTACCTCAGGGCCTTTGCATGAACTGTTCCATCTATCTGAACATTCTTTCCCCGGATGTCTGCATGCCTTAACATCTTTATCCAAATGTCACCTTCTTTAGGAAGCCTTCCCTGACCATCCTATTTAAAATACCAGTTTTCTCAATTGCAAGGTATCTTCCTTATTTGGACCTGAATCCAGCTACAAATTGTAAAAAAAGTATGAGATAATCAGGAGACTGCAGTGCTACCTGCGAACTTGATATCGAGGTATGAATGTTCTTTTTTTTTTTTTTGAGACAGAGTCTCACTCAGTTGCTCTGGAGTTGAGTGTCACAGCTGACAGAAACCTCAAACTCTTGGGCTCAAGTGATCCTCTTGCCTCAGCCTCTCGACTAGCTGGGACTTCAGGTGCTTGGCGCAAGGCTTGACTGGTTTTTCTATTTGTAGTAGTGACGGGGTCCCACTTTGCTTAAGCTGGTCTCAAACTCCTGAGGTCAGTCAGGTGATACACCTCCCTCAGCCTCCTAAAGTGCCAGGATTGCAGGTGTAAGCCACCACACAGGGCCTTGACTGTTCATTTTTAAAGGTATATTGTGGATTTAAAAAAAATAGTCTTTTTAAAAAGAGAGGTATTTCAATATTCATTGATGAAAATATAGGGTGTTCGGGTTTAGTTTTAAAATATTGCATTGGTATATCCATACCATGCAAACTGTTTGGCAATAAAAAGCCAAGTAGTACTGCTGTGTGCCACAACACGGAGGGACCTCAGACATGCATGCTCAGGGAGAGCTAGACAGGAAGGAACACCTATCATGTGATTCCCTTTACATGAAATGTCCAGAATAGGTACATCTATGGGAACGAAAGTTTCAATAGATTAGATGCAGACTAGGCCTGGGGATGGGAATGAATCTGGACCCAAGATTTCTTTTTGGGGTGATAGAAATGTTCTAAAACTGGATTGTGGTGATGGCTGCACAACTAGGTAAATATACTACAACCAATAAGTTTTAGTATTTTCAGTACAGGTGTGGCGGCTCATGCCTTTAACCCTAGCTCTCTGGGAGGCCAAGGTGGGAGGATTGCTTGAGCTCAGGATTTTGAGATCAGCCTCAGTAAGAGGGAGACCCTATCTTTACTAAAAATAGAAAAACTAGCTGGGTGTGGTCCCAGCTACCCAGGAGGCTGAGGCAAGAGGATTGCTTGAGCCTAAGAGTTTGAGGTTGCTGTAAGCTATGATGCCCCAACACATTACCCAGGATGATAGAGTGCCAAAAAAAAAAAAGTTTTAGTATTTTCAACTTAAAACAGGTGAATTTAATGGCACATGAATTACTATCATTATTATTACTCATAATTATTGTTACTATTATTTTTATTTTATTTATTTATTTATTTAAGTGGCCGCGACACACGCCGCCTTTTTATTTATTCATTTATTTTTGAGACAGAGTTTCAGTTATTAACCCTCGGTAGAGTGCGGGAGGTGGGGAGGTAGGGGAGGGAGTCACAGCTCAAAGCAACCTCCAACTCCTTGGGCTCAAGAGATTCTCTTGCCTCAGCCTCCCAAGTAGCTGGAACCACAGGCGCCTACCATAGTGACCGGCTATTTTTTTGTTGCAGTTTGGCCGGGGCTGGGTTTGAACCCTCCACCCTCAGTATATGGGGCCAGCACCCTACCCACTGAACCACAGGCGCCGCCCACTATTATTTTTAAATGCTGGGTTTTACTCTGTCCCCCAGGCTAGAGTGCAGTGGTATAATCATAGCTCATTGTAGCCTCAAATTCCTGGGTTCAAGTGATTCTCTTGCCTCAGTTTCCCAAGGAGCTAATTATTGTAATTCTTTTGGTAGAGATGCGTCTCACTATGTTGCCCAGACTGTTCTTGATATTTTATAAAGCTGTTAAAAAAGAAAACATTCTAATGGGGGAGGGTGAGAAGTGGATGGAAGAGAAAGAAGCCAGTCAGTCCCAGAATCAATATCTGCTTGAGGAAGAGGGATGGGTATGTGAGAGGTTATTATATTATTCTTTCCCTTTGTATATACATTTGAAATTTGTTTAATAAATATCCTTTGAATGAATTAATTGATATTTCAAAAATCTATCCTGATCTCACAAAAAGAATTCACTCTGGAGTTCCAAGGAAAAGTTGAGAGCCACAAACCAGTCAGTGAATTACCTCCTGAGACGCCTCGACCCCTGGCCCTCTCTAAGACGGGTGTGGTATTTTTCTGGGATTTGTCCTCCCACCCCCACAATATGCCTGCCTGAGGCCTTAGTGACAGTGGGTCCTTTAGCTCTAACTTACCTGTCACACCCACAGTGGACACGGGGCCCACGCGCCGCCCCTCGTGCAGGCCGTACAGGTGCATCTTGTACTTGCGCCTGGGCTCCAGGCCACCCACAGTGACCTCTCGATCCTCGCCCCTGACACGCATCACCTGAGGCTGCCCATCCCTGTCCTTGTACTGGACAGTGAAGGAGTCAAAACGGCCCTGGGCAATGGTCCAGGAGAGGCTCAGCGAGTCTGGGGACGATCCTGTCACTGTCAGCTCCCCCAGGAGTGGCTCCTCTGGGGGCTCTGGAGTCTCCGTGCTGGGTTCTGTGGGGCTGGGGGTCTCCTCCACCTCCATGGGGGCAGGGGTCTCTTCCACTGTGGCTGAGAAGGAGAACGGAGAGACAGAAAGTGAGGCAGGGCACCTGGGGAGTGTCCTCAGATCTTGAGGAGGAGAGAAAAACTGTGGCCATGACGAGGGGAGAAGCTGAGGTCAGTTCAGATGAGCCCCCCCACTTGGGGCTGAGTGGTCCTGCTCGGCTCACAGCTAGCAAACAAGACTAGGTTCTGGGGTCAGCTGTGGGGAACCTGGGACAGTCACCAACACAGTAAAGCTCCTGAAGGCCTCTCCTGCCCAGGAGGAAACATTAGTCAACCCCAGGGGAAGGCACAAAAGGAGCCACAGTGGCAGCCTCAAGCTGGTCTTTGTTACTGACCAGACCCCTGCCACCATTTCTGCTTCGCCGCCACCAAGAGCAGAAGAGTGAACCTCACTCTGGGTCCCAGCCTGGGGCTCCCATCATCTACTCACTTGTCACCCCGATGGCAGAGACAGGGCCCACACGCTGGCCCCCATGGAAGCCGTACAGGTTCATCTTGTACTTGTGATCTGGCTCCAGGCCTGAGATGGTGACCCCATCCTCGTGCCCTGGCACCTGCACTGCCTTGGGCTGTCCATCCCCGTTCTTGTACTGGACCAGAAAGTGGTCAAATTGGCCCTCAGGGACCATCCAGGAGAGGGTCAGGGAGTCGGGGGTGGCATCTGTCACAGTCAGCTCCTCCAGGCGTGGTGTGATGGGAGGTTCTGAAGGCTCCTCTTCTTCCTCCCGTGGGACTGAGCAGAGGCATGGAGAGAGAAGACTTGAGAGAGAGGTAGGATGTGTCCAAGGGAACTTTTTCTCCTCTGAACTCTCCCAGCCATCAGGAAGGAAATAGTGCAGGCAGAGACCTTCTCACCTGTCAGAGCCTCAGCGTAGGCAGGACCCACACGCTGCCCATCATGGAAACCATACAGGGTCACCAGGTATCTGTGGTCGGATTCCAACCCAGAAAGGGTAATGTCATTCTTGTCACCCTCTACAGTGACCATTTGGAGTTGCCCATCTCTATCTGTGTACTGGACCTCAAAGGAGTCAAATTCTCCCTCAGTCACCATCCAGGAGAGATGCAGGGTATGTGACGTGGCCTCTTCTACTGTCAGCTCCCCTAGGCGGGGCTCAGGTACCAAAGGGGTGGGGGCTGTGGTTGCAGCTTTGATTTCTTCCCTGGAGGCTGGTTCAGAGACACAGGTAGAGATGGATGACTGGTCTGTGAACACACCAAGACTCTTGGGAAGAGGCAAGGAGGGAAAGGAATGAAGGCAAGATGGCAGCAATAAAAGGACCAAACACACAGATGAATTTTAAAAGTATTATGCTAGAGCAAGAAGCCAAGCAGTAGAGACTACATATTGTATGACTCTGTTACACGACTTGATCACAAGGCAACACTATAATGATAGAAAGCAGCTCAGTGGTTGCCAGAGGAAACTAACTAGAAGGGGCACAAGGAAACTTTTTGGATCAATGGAAATGATATAAATGAGAAGCTCAGCGATCTTACAACTCAGACCAGGAAAGCCAGGTGGGAAGGGGCACAGTGAGTTCTAGCTGCCACTGCACTCACCGGTTATGGCAATGGTAGAGATGGGACCCACACGCTTGCCACTGTGCAGCCCATAGAGCAGCAGCTTGTACCTGTGGGCTGGGTCCAGGTCCGAGACGCTGACCTCCCTGAGGCTGCCTTCCACGGGCACCACCTGGGGCTGCCCATCCCTGTCCTTGTACTGGACCACAAAGGAGTCAAATTGGCCCTCAGGGACTGTCCATGAGAGGCCCACGGAGTTCGGGGTCACGCTGGTCACCTGCAGCTCCTCCCCCAGACGGGGTTTTGGGGGACGCTTTGTTCCAGTATGATCCATAGCACTCTGAGCCTCTGAGATGGAGACACGGAGAGGAAATGGCTGAGCTGTTTCTGGAGGGCTGGGTGACCTCAAAGGGCAGGATGGAAAGGTTTGGAGACAGGGCTTGGCATGGCTGAGTCCTACAGAGTTGGCGCTAGGGGCCTGTGCAAGGGTGTTGGGAGCTGGATCTTAGCCCAAGTGGCTAGGGCCAAATAACCTTAATGTCAGCCCCCAGAAGTGACCACCTGCTGCCCAGAGCCTCAGGGTAGCACAGCAGGGCCCAGCAGGGGATGCTCCTCACCCGTGGTGCCATCAGCAGTCAGGGGGCCATGGCGCTTCTTGCCCAGGAGGCCATAGAGGAGAAATCTGTACTTGCGGCCGGCATCCAGAGGTGTGACAGTGACTGAGCGCTCATGGCCCTCCACAGGCACTACCTGGGGTCCATCCTTGTCTTTGAACTGGACCACAAAAGAGTCAAACTGGCCCTCAGGGACTGTCCAGAAAAGGTGCAGCGAGTCTGAGGTGGGGTTCGTCACCCATAGCTCCCCGAGCTGGGGCGAGGCCCCTGGGCTGGCATCACCTGGGGCAGTTGACAGAGAGGAAAGGTTCTTGTGTTTATTTTTTCCACAATGACTCCTTAACTGCCTCCTTCTGGGGTTGGAAAAATCCAGAACTGCCCAAGAGCTCAGTCATTGCCTCTTCAAAATCTTTATTTCCATTACCTCCTATCCTCATCACCATCTCCATCTTCCCCATGCCTCTCTCCCCTTGACCAAAGTGGGGAGGGTCTCCTCTCCTGAGTCATCTCTGGCAAAAGAGAGTCCCTAGCTTCCCTCCTCATCTTATTCCTCTTGCTGTCCAGCCTCTTCCCACCTATTACAGACTATTTTCCTGAGGGTGCAGCTTGTCACAGACTTGTTCCCTGTCTCCTCTTACCCAAGAGCCAATACTTTGTGATGTGACTGGCCCTTGAGAAACCCAAGGGCACAGGATCCCTGTGGGGGCAGACAGCAGGTGGGGGAGGCAGGATGTCACAATGCAGGTGGTTCTCACTTCTCCCTTGTTCCCTTTCTCATTCTGCACTGGCTGGCCTCGGAGAATTAAGACTTCCAAAGGCCTTGGTGGAGGAGTGGGGGCTGCCTGTGTGTGTGGGGGAGCTCAGATTGGGAAAGGATCTGCTGTCTGCCCAAGGAGCCATCCCAGAGCCTGGGAAGGAGCTGGCCTTCTGCCTTCCTGGACAGTGAGGACACTGACGTCATTGTTATTGCAAAAGTTTTTTGGCAACAGGGAGCCCCCAGAGGCAGGGGAGGGCCTGGACTGAGGCCCAGGAAAGGGGCACAGCTGGGCTGGGATCCCCTGGTTCCCAATTTCTGAGGCTCCAGGAGAAGGGCAGAGAAGGGAAGGGAGCCTCCGCAGGAGGCAGATAGAGCATCTGAAAGACCTGAAACAGGAGGGTGAAAAGTTGGGTGGAAATCACGAGGGAGATAGCAAAACTCTGAGGAGGTGATGGGCTGCAAGGCCCAGGGAGGCAGGAGGCCCAGCACCCCATGTTCCATCCTCCAGCAAGGGTCCTGTGGTTTCCCCTAACTAACAGAAGCAGAAGTTAGGAGAACAACAGCAAAGTCAACAAGGGAGTGGCCAGTCAGCAGGAACTGGCCCCGTTCTCTTGGTCCTTGCCTGCTTTGGACTGGGGAAGGCTGTGGCTTTTCAAATGAGACAGAGGAGATGGATAAAGGGAAGATCTGGCAGAGAGAGTGTGAAGACGGGAGGGAGATGGGGGCTCGGGCCCAGCTACGGGGTCCTCACTCACCTGTCTTTGCCTCCACAGAGACTGAACCACGTCGTTTTCCATCCTGGATTCCAAAGAGCAGGAACTTGTACTTGCGGGAGGGCTCCAGGTTAGGAATGGTGACCTCCCGCTGGTCTGTAGCCACTGGCACCACCTGGGGCTGCCCATCCCTGTCCTTGTACTGGACCACGAAAGAGTCGAATGCACCCTCAGGGACCGTCCAGGAGAGGCCCACAGAATCAGGGGTCACGTCTATCACTGTCAGGTCCTCCAGGCGTGGCTCCAAGGGGGGCTTGGAGGCCTCTGTGGCTGGGGCTGGTGGGAGGGCATCTAGGATCCAGGAAGACAAAGAACATGGCTGAGATCTCAAAGGAGAGCCCCAGGTGCTGAGGGCCTTGAGGGGGGTGTTACACCTTTATTTTCAGACTTCTATCTGAAATGTAGCATTTCCTTCAATGATCAAATATAGGAAACCAACCATAGCAGTATTATGACTTTGTAACCGACAGAAATCATAAATGTTTTTACATCACTTTAGAGATATTGTAAAAACTTTAAAATACGATTTACACTCATCGCTACTTCTAAATGTTGTAGTTTATCAAATATGCCACCAAATCTTACTATTTAATGGACTAATAAGTCCAAGTATTACTAAATAATGAATTTGAGTTTTAAACAAATATTCTGATAATTGAATATTAATACAAGTGGCTTCCTTCATAATCCTATACATTTATAGATTTTAAAACATTGCTCTGAGAAGGGCTACATGTCTCATCAGATGGTACTGCACAAGAGTCATGGAGTTTCCTCTTCTTAGGCATAGAAAAAACCCCAAATCATAGAGAACTTATGCCCAGGGGGCCATGAGGGGCAGGAAGGAACCAAGAGCAAGAGAGAGGGCAACTTCCTAGAGAGATAAAAACTGGCTCAGGCCAGAAGGAATGCAACTTAGACCATGCAGCTGAGGACCTCTAGAAGGGATTCAGGGATGTATGGAGGTTTAACCCCAATAAAAAAGGGCAGAAGGGGGAGGTGGCAGCCATGTTCAAGTCACAGCAGGGTTGTAAAGAGAAGGGAGAGGAAACAGCTGTGGACAATCGCAAGAGAGAGAAAGTCTTAGGCTGGATTTAGTCCAAATAGGAAGAAAACATTCCCATGAGGAGGGAGCAGAGTGCAGATGGGGAAGGACCTGGAGAGCAGGGGAGGGTCCAGCCAGGGAGAGCAATGGGGTCAGGAAATAGACCAAGATGCATGTGAGCCTGAGGAGGACGAGCAGGGTCTGGCTTTCCATGAGGCAATGGTAGCGTCCAGGCAGGGCTGGAAGAAGGGCCATGGGGTGGGGAGCTCTGGGTAACCATGGATGGGGACTGCTTCACCCCTTACTCACCTGTCTCAGCTACTACAAAGAGGGGGCCCACGCGTTGCCCACCATGTAACCCATAGACATTTATCTTGTATTTTCTTGCAGGCTCCAGGTTGGAGACTGTGACCTCCCGCTGGTCTGTGGCTGCTGGCACCACCTGGGGCTGCCCATCCCTGTCCTTGTACTGGACCACAAAGGAGTCAAACTGGCCCTCAGAGACAGTCCACAAGAGGCCAATGGAGTTGGGGGTCACATTTGTCACTGTCAGCTCTCCCAGGCGTGGTTCCAGGGGGGGCTCAGTAGCTGGAGGAGTCTCTTCCTCCTGTTGGGGGTCTAGGACAGAGATGGTGGGAGGTATTAAGAAAGAACCCTTCTTCCTTTGGTGATAATTATATCTGCTCCTTTTGTGGTACCCATGAGGTAGTCTGATGTAGAACTGCATTAACTGGCAACATCTGTCTGGCCAACAGTCCTTCACTGGGTCCCTGCCAGGTATCTGAAGTCGCACTTGCTATCACTGAGACCTTGGAGAGTGGCTGGAAGTCCACCTGCATGTCAATGACTTCAAGTTTATATCCTCTGTCCAGACCTCTCCCCTGACCCCCAGGCCCAAGTATGCTCAACATCTTCCTTGGATGCTAATTGGTGCTTCAGACTCAACAAATCTACAACTGTGCTCCTGAGCTTCCTCTGACACCTGCTCCCACCACACCTCCCAACCTCAGTAAAATAACAACTTTATTCTTCCAGTGACACAAGTCAAATCCTTGGAGTCATTCCTGTGTTCTCTCTCACATGACACATCTGTCCCGTGGGTAAGTCCTGCTATCATTGCCTTCAGAATCTAACCCTCAGGCAGCACCTGTGGCTCAGTGAGTAGGGCGCAGGCCCCATATACTGAGGATGGCAGGTTTGAACCCAGCTCCAGCCAAACTGCAACAACAAAAATAAGTAGCTGGGCATTGTGGTAGGTGCCTGTAGTCCCAGCTACTTGGGAGGCTGAGGAAAGAGAATGGCCTAAGCCCAAGAGCTGGAGGTTGCTGTGAGCTGTGATGCCACAGCACTCTACTGAGGGTGACAAAGTGAGACTCTGTCTAAAAAAAAAAAAGAAAGAACCTGACCCCTTCTTGGTCACCTCCAAGCACCAGGGGCTCTTACTGGATTATCATAACAGTCTCCCAGATCATCTCCTTCCTTCTACTCTTTGGTCTGTCGGTTTGCAGCCAGAGGGAAGAACACGTTAGTCACGGCCTGTTCCCGCAGTGGTTTCCACCTCACTTTGAGTAAAATTTGAGTCCTTGCAATGGTCTTCAAGTTCCTACATGTACATCTCTCACATCATCACCTACCACCTGCCCTCCCTACAACTCCATTTCAAAACACGCTGCATTCCTTGCTGCCTCCAGACATTTGGGGCCCCTTCCCTACTGCTGGCCTCTGCATTCACTCTTCCCTTTGTCTGGGATACTCTTTCCCCCAAAGACCTGAGTGGTCTTTCTTGAGTGTCACCATCTCAGCTACTAGGCTTTGCTTTTCTCCACTGCTCTCGCTACTGATGAGAGTGGTATCACTGCTGTGTTTGTGCAGTTTGTTGCCCGTCCGCCTCTGCTAGAATGTGAGCCCCTCAGCAGGAGCGCTGCCTTACTCACTGCTGTGTTCCAATGCCCAGTGCAGAGCAGGTGCCCAACAAATATCTGTAGGATATATGAATGGTCTGCAGGTACAGGATGGGAGTGCTGCATTCAGGAATTGCTGGATCCCACTGCCCCAGCAGGAGCTAAGGCTGGTAGGAAAGGCGTTCCTCACTGGTAACCCAATCTCAGGTGGTTGGTCCCAAGTGAGAAAATGGCAGATGGGAGGTCGGGGGGGGGGGCCACCCAAGAGCTTGTTTGTCTGGCTTCTGTGGTGGGGGAGGGCAAGACTAGGCTCCAGGCAGGTGACACCTGCTTAAAACAGGCTGGTGACCTGGTCTCAGGCAGACAGAAATGAGGTTGGGTAGGGAGGGTAGGGATGGGGGCAGCTGAAGGTGGTGGGAGGGGCCACAGCAACCACATGTATTGAACATCTACTATGGACAGGCCAGGCATTTTCTTTCATTTTATTTGCCTTCTAACCTTATGAGTTCCTGTAGCATCCACTTCCTGCTCACTTTTGCCCTCTCTGTACTTCTTTTCATGAGGGAATGAAACCATCCCTCACCATCAAGCCTTATTGTTGGTGGCTTGGCTTAACTGGAAAAAGTGAGATTATAACTATTCATGAGTATGACAGTTCCCATGCTGCAATTTTCCAATTCTGAAGTGTTTCTAATGAGCTCCATGTCTCGTTCCCTGGCAATGGCACCATGAGTGCTGTGTGTGCCAGGCACAGCCCCAGAGCTCAGTTAGGTTTCAGCTCCTTCATCCTCTTGCTGCACTAGTCACTGATATCAATGTCCATTTCTTTCTTAAAGGGCCTCCTCCATTTTATCTAGGGCATGTAAAAATACATGTTTCAGGACATCCAGCATCAAAACACAGATTTCTCAGCCAGGTGTAGCGGCGCCTATAATCCCAGCAACTCAGAGGCTGAGGTGAGAGGATTGCTTAGGCCCAAAGTTTGAGGCTACAGTGAGCTATGATCATGTTACTGCATTCCAACCTGGATGACAGAGCAAGATGCTGTCTCTAAAAAAGAAAATGAGGCTTGGCACCCATAGCTCAGTAATTAGGGCACCAGCCACATGCATTGAGGCAGGTGGGTTCGAACCCTGCCCCAGCCTGCTAAGTAAACTAACAAACAAACAAACAAAATAGCCAGAAGTTGTGGCAGGCACCTATAGTCCCAGCTACCTGGGAGGCTGAGGCAAGAGAATTGCTTGAGTCTAAGAGTTTGAGGTTGCTGTGAGCTATGACACCATGGAACTCTACTGAGGGCAACATAGTGAGACTCTGTCTCAAAACAAACAAAAAAAATTAATCTTTGGCTCAGCGCCTGTAGCTCAGTGGCTAGCGTGCCAGCCACATACACCGGTTCAAACTACATGACAACTACAACCAAAAAATAGTTGTGGTGGGTGCCTGTAGTCCCAGCTGCTTGGGAGGCTGAGGCAAGAGAATCACTTAAACCCAAGAGTCAGAGATCACTCAAACCAATGGCACTCTACTGAGGGCAACATAGTGAGACTCTGTCTCAAAATAAATAAATAAATAATAAAAAAGAACACGGATTCCTTCAAGAGAAGGTCTAAGCAAAAGTCAGATGAACTGAGAACATGCTACAAGTTATATCACTTCCTCTATTAGGATGAGTGCGGCAACATTTGCTATCTTGAAGATGAGGATGCTGACGAGGAGGTTTTTCAAGATCACACAGCTGAGAACAGGGGAAGCCAGAAGTGGAACTCAGTTTGTCAGATTCCAAAACTCAAATTTCCTCTACTGCACCACCTCAGTTAGTGTCTGACAGAGCCTGCCTTTACCCTGGGGACCATGGGGCCTCACAAAGGCCTCACAAAGGCCTCACAAAGGCCTCACAAAAGGCCTCACAAAGCCCAGTGTAGTTCCCTGGGACCAAAGGCCAGATCCGAGATCACCCCAGGAGAAAGCTTTGGCAGCACCTCTGGGCCTGGCACCTGCCTCCAGCCTGCTACTTCAGGCTCTCAGGAGAGTAACTCAGGGTGCCTTTTTCCCTTTTCGCTCTTCTGAATGCTGACTGGGGCAAAGAAAATAAATTGGGAGTGGAAGATTTGGAAACTAAATTAACCAAGCCATCATCTGTTTGAGGTTTGTGGAAATACAGAAATAGGCAGCCCCTATAGCACAGCAGGTAGGGCGCTGGCCACATATACCAAGGCTGGCGGGTTCGAACCCGGCCCGGGCCAGCTAAACAACAGTGGCAACCAACACCACCACAACAAGAAGATAGCAGGCTGTTGTGGCGGACACCTATAGTCCCAGCTACTTGGGAGGCCGAGGCAAGAGAATCGCTTAAGATTCTCTTAAGCCCTATGTAGTGGCTCAGGTGGTCCCATATTGGGCTGGAGAGAGGGGGCATGAGGAATGTTCTTCTTTGCGGTGAATTCACTCACTAGATGAGTGTTTTTATTAATTTTTTAAAATCATTTTGTTATTTTATTTATTATTATTTTTTTGAGACAGAGCCTCAAGCTGTCCCCCTGGGTAGAGTGCCGTGGCCTCACAGCTCACAGCAACCTCCAACTCCTGGGCTCAAGCGAGTCTCCTGCCTCAGCCTCCCAAGTAGCTGGGACCACAGGCGCCCGCCACAGTGCTTGGCTATTTTTTGGTTGCAGCCGTCATTATTTGGTGGGCCTGGGCTGGATTTGAACCCACCACCTTAGGTGTATGTAGCTGGCGCCTTAGCCACTTGAGCCACAGGCGCTGAGCCATAGGTGCTGAGCCTAAAGGTCTTGTTTAGTTTTTTTGCTTCCTTTGTATACAACTATCTGCTTTTTTCCCCTTTTTTTTCAGTTTTTGGCTGGGGCTGCATTTGAACCTGCCACCTCTGGCATATGCTCTGGCACCCTATTCCTTTGAGCCACAGGTGCCACCCTAGATGAGTGTTAAAGAAAAGTTTTGGCCAGGCAAGGTGGCTCACGTCTGTAATCCTAGCATTCAGGGTGGCTGAGGTAGGAGAATCACTTGAGATCAGGAGTTTAAAATCAGCTTGAGCAAGAGCAAGAGCAAGACCCTGCCTCTACGAAAAATAGAAAAACTAGACAGGCATCATGGTACATGCCTATAGTCCCAGCTACTCAGGAGGCTGAGGCAGGAGGATCTCTTGAACCTGGGAGTTTGAGGCTGTAGTGAGCTATGATGACACTGCTGCACTGTACTTTAGCTGCGGTGACAGCGAAACTCTCTTTAAAAAGGAGAAGGAGGAGGAGGAGAAGGAGGGGGAGGGTTGAGGGAGAGGGAGGAGGAGGAAAAGCAGGAGAAGGAAAGAAAAAAAAAAAAAAGGAAAGTTTGGGCTGCACTGATGAAAAAGAGACCAATGTCTTCTGCACATTCTCCCACCCAACTTCTAGCCAGGCTTGATTCTGCATAGTCAAAGTTTTATAAAATCAAAGTCATGGTTTTCTAAATTTTACTTAGTTTTTTGAGACAGAGTCTCATTTTTGTCAACCAGTCTAGAGTGCAATGGTGTCATCAAAGTTCACAGCCACCTCAAACTCTTGGGCTCAAGTGATCCTCCTGCCTCAGCCTCTTAAGTAGCTGAGATCACAGGTGTGCAGTATGATGCTGGCTAATTTTTCTATTTTTAGTAGAGATGGAGTCTTACTCTTGCTCAGGCTAGTCTTCAACTCCTGAACTCAGGCAATTTTCCTGCCTTGGCCTCCTAGAGTGCTAGGATTACAGGCATGAGCCACTGAGCCTGGCCTAGCTCTTTTTTTGAGATAGTGTCTTGCTTTGCCGCCCATGCTGGAATGCAGTGTTACAATCATCCTGCTTAGCTTCTGAGATTGGAGGAGCTTGGGTGCATTCAGGGTGGTATGGCTTTAGGCTCATGCACATTCTGACCAACAGCTGAGCCAGCCAAAGAGGATAAAGCAGATCCCACAGTAAAGATAATTATAATAATCACAGCAGCAAACACTTGATAGCATGTTTACTTTGTGCTAGGCCCAATCTTAGTGCTTTATATCTGTTAACTCATTTAATTCTCACAACAGTTCTGTGAGATAGATGTTATCCCCATTTTTTTTTTTTTTTTTTTTTTTTTGCAGTTTTGGGCCGGGGATGGGTTTGAACCCGCCACCTCCGGCATATGGGGCAGGCTCCCTACTCCTTTGAGCCATAGGTGCTGCCTGGTGTTATCCCCATTTTACAGGCAAGGAAACAGATAGTTCAAAACCTACTCAGACTCTCAAAAGGTTGTTGTAGCCCAGTCCCTAATGACCTGTCTTTCTAGGTCTTCCCCAAGCAGGTGGGGCTTTCTGGTTACAGTGGAGCAAGGGAAGGAAACTGGCTACAGGGAAGTCAGGGCCTGCAGTGGGAAGGAATTAAATCAGGCCCCTACCCCTCACTCACCTGTGATGCCCACAGTGGACACGGGGCCCACGCGCTGCCCCTCATGCAGGCCATACAGGTGCATCTTGTACTTGCGCCTGGGCTCCAGGCCCCCCATTGTGACCTCTCTCTCCTCGCCCCCGACACGCACTGCCTGGGGCCGTCCATCCTTATCCTTGTACTGGACAGTGAAGGAGTCGAAGTGGCCCTGGGGGACGGTCCAGGAGAGGCTCAGCGAGTCTGGGGATGATCCTGTTACCACTAGCTCCCCTAGAAGTGGTTCCTCTGGGGGTTCTGGGATCTCTGTGCTGGGTTCTGTGGGCCTGGGGGTCTCATCCACAATCTCTAGAGCAGCTGAGAAAAGATGGGGGAATACAGGCTTAAAGTGTGACTTGCTTGCTGGTGTCCACACATCAAATATACTCCTGATGCTGTAGGCTTAGGGCTCATGCAGTCTTTGTATCAGCCATTTGGGCATTATGGATGGAGAGGGCTGAGATAGTCCCCAACTACATCCTGTACTGGTGGGTCCTGTAGGGGTGAGGAGTGTCCCCTCATATTTGAGAAAGGAGCTAAGTGAGAAGAAAGGAAACCTCTGATGATTCTTCTATGTCATGTTCAGTGGCAGTGCTGACCTCAGAGAGTGAGGAGGGGCAGCAAGGCATCTCCCTACCTGTGCTTTCCCGGTTCTGGCTGCCCCACCCCTTGAGTCAGGATAGGACACTGGAATGGGGGCCTGCTAAGGCCTCTCCAGGCAGCCTTTCCCCTCCCTCCTCTTTAACCCTAAGGAATAAATTGCTAAGGCAGAGATCCAGGAAAGAGTGAGGAAAAAGTGGGGGCAGGGCAAGGGCTGGTGGGAGCTAAGGAAGGACCTGCTCTTCTCTGGCTGGCTCTAGCATCACATGCCTGTAGACACTACCACTATCCGGGGCAGTTAAGCCTTTGCCAAGCCTCTGTGGAATGGAGAGGCTGTGGCACAAGGCAAACCCACCCTTCTGGGACCCACTCCCCAGGCCATGGGGTACTACTCTGAGATAGGAGATTGAAGAGGAAACAGGTAAGAATGATAACCCCAGTGAGGATGGGAAAGGTAGGGAGGTGAGAAACAAAAAGGTTACTGGGAAGTGAGTCAGAAAGAAATAGCAGCTCACTCTTAAATAGCTCACAGTTTTGATGTACCATGTACTATTTTAAGTACTGTACATATATCAACTCATTTAATCCTAATGACTCTGTGGAGTGGTAACCATTATCATCCCCATTTGAGAGCTGAGGCACAGAGAGGTTAAGTAACTTGCACAAGGTCCCCTAGGTAGTAAGCTGCAAAGCTGGTAGTAAGAGTCAACCAGTTGGTTCCAGAGTTTTTGCTCCCAACCATTATTCTCTTAGCAAAGAATTCACAGAAGGAATTAGCATTGGAAGGGTGAAGCTGGGGACATGGAGGAATAGGCTGGGATGCTGTGCTGACAGTGAGCCCTTTGCCCCACTCCCAGGGGGCTGGGAAGAGTCCTTCACATGCCGCAAAGAAGCTGGGGAAATGTGGTGCTCTTGTCCCTACAACCTGGATCTGCCACCTCTGAACAAAGCAGCAGTGGCAGAAGCGTATAGGGACAGAAGCTCAGAAGTGACCACAGCCTAAAATATGCCATTATGGAGCTCAGTAAAAACTGTGGGGCAAGAGCAACATGACTGAATGGTGAGGATATCTGTGAAGAGAACAGAATAAGGTGGCAGGATAAGTCTGGGTGCTTGGAATGGGAGAAAAATGGGACCTGCCCTTGGAGATGGAGAAGCAGGGCTGAGAAGGAAAGGAGGAGCTGGGGGTGGACAAGGAGGCCTAGAGAGCAGTGCAGGAGGAGGTGGGTGGAGGCTTTGGCAGAATTGGAGTTGAGAAAGAGGAGGTGGAGGGGGCTAGAAGGAGCCCGGCCAGGACTTGCTCACAGGCTGGAGGCTAGCAAGGAACGCAGGCCTCTGCAGACCTGACTCACCCGTCTTGGCCACCACAGACACGGGCCCCACACGCTGCCTGCCACGAAGCCCGTAGAGGTTCATCTTATATTTCCGGTCGGGCTCCAGCCCAGGAATGGTAACCTCGTTCTCATCCCCCTTGACGGGCACTGCTTGGGGCTGCCCTTGTGTATCTTTGTACTGGACCATGAAGGAGTCAAAGGGGCCTTGGGCTACTGTCCATGATAGGCGCAGGGAGTCTGGAGTCACGCCAGTCACTGTCAACTCCCCCAGGAGGGGCTGCTTGGGAGATTCAGGGTGGAGGGACTCCTCTTTCCTCTCTGGGGCTGTAAACAAGAGGACCCAGTCAGGTGCTGAACTGGCAGCCTAGGAATGGGGCTGGGGTTTGGACAGAATGTCACAATGTCTCATATGGGGTTCACTATTTGATTATTATGAGTGCCAAATTCCGGGGAAGTCTGATACAGCCAGGGTATGACACACCTTCTGGGCTGTGGGGAGCTGCTGAATGGGATAGAAGGGGTCCAGCAGTGTGGGGGAGGCTGGCTGCCCCTCAGCCCAGGAGCCAGACCAGGATCACAGAGTCAGTCATCTTGGTGGTAGCCCAGCTGGTTTCTGGCTGAGGGCAAGTGTGCTGAGAGGGCCATAAGAGGTCACATGGGCGCTGAGGTGGCTACTACTTACCAGTGGTACCATCAGCCACGAGGGGGCCATGTCGCTTCTTGTTGGCAATCCCAAACAAAGTGAATCTGTACTTGTAGTCAGGGTCCAATGGGGAGATGGTGACTGAACGCTCAGGCCCTTCCACAGGTACCACCTGGGGCTGTCCATCTCTGTCCCTGTATTGGACCACGAAAGAGTCGAACTGGCCCTCAGGGACGGTCCAAGAGAGGTGCAGTGAGTCTGGGGTAGGGTCTGTCACCCACAGCTTTCCTAGGCGGGGTGGAGTTCTTGGGTCACTCTGAGGCACTAGGAGGAGGAGAACAGAGAAAAGGGAGGGACATAGGTCATAGGAGAAGGGTGAACCCATCTCCCACATAGGGATGCGGTGCGAGGTTATGCAGGCAGTTCACTGCCGAGGTGCATTGTCGAGGGAGTAGAGAGGGACTGAGATCCAGTATTCTTGCCAAGCTGCTATATGCCCTGGTGAGGAGCCATATCTATCTATAGCAGTGGTTCTCAACCTTCCTTACTGCTGTTCCTTGTCTCAGGGAATGGTAGTATCTGATCCAGAACCCTGAGGACTGCCTGGGCCTCCTTCACCTCCCACATCCAGCCCTACTGCCAAGCCACCATCATTTCTTGCCAGCCCTTAACTCACTTTGCCAGTTATCTCTGCAGCAGCCACAGTACTACTTGTAAGATAAATATTGAATCATGTCACTCTCCTACTTAACCCTTCGGAGGCCTTTAGGGCCCTCAACTGAGGCCCAAGTCCCTCAGCACGGCTCAGGAAATCCTAAAACCAGACCCTTTAGCTCCCCATGTGCCCTGCTTTCCAGCCAGGAAAGTGACATGGATTCTCCTGTGGCCACCTCTCCCTTGCCTGCCAAACACTAATTTCTCTTCAGGATTCAGCTCATGCACCACTGCCTTCAGGAAGCCTTCCTAGTGCTCCCAAAGCAGGTTCCCAATGTTCTGGGAAGACCTTCAGGACAGTACAGAGGGCAGGAGGGGGGAGATCTCACTCACAGATCTTGGCTTCAGCCACCAGGGGGCCATGCCTCTTCTTGCCAACAAGCCCATACAGGACAAATTTGTACTTGCGGCCTGGGTCCAGGGAAGTGATGGGGGCTGAGCGCTGGGGCCCCTCCACAGGCACTACCTGAGGTTGCCCATCCCTATCCTTGTACTGGATCACAAAGGAGTCAAATGTGCCCTTGGGGACCGTCCAGCGCAGGAGCAAGGAGTCAGAGGTCATGTCTGTCACCGTCAGCTCACCCAGGCGTGGTGTACCTGAGGGTTTCCCAGGCTTTTCCTCATCCCTGTCTGGGGTTTGGGGGCAAAAACAAAGCACAGTGGACTTACCCATTCCTTTGTCCCCTGCCTCCTTCCCTCTCCTCTACCCACCTAATTTCATCCTGGATAGCTCCTTCCCTGGAAGCCTCTATTTCCTTACCCCTCAGCCCTCTGTGACCAGCTCTCCTAGAAGGGAGGCATTTCCCCCTCATTTCTGTTCTTTCTCTTGTGAAAGTTTCTCTTCCCCTCACAAGGTCTTAGTTCCTCTGCATCACCAAGATTTTGGGGGGAAGTTTAGGTCCCCATGGTTCTGCCTGAAATTTTCAGGCCTCCTTGCTGCTACCTCAGAGCACTCAGCCCCCCTTCTCTCTTAGTGGTGAGCTTGACATGGCCTGGAGTTTGGGAGAGATTTGGTCACCCAGAGAGAGGGTGGTACCATAGAGAGGAACCAAGAGGAGATGTGAGAGTGAGGCATCCCCAGGCCCTGTCCTGGACTAGTCCTGCAAACCTCATCCATTTCTGAAGTCCTGATGGCTGTGAAGCCCCTTTCTCATGGAGCCTTCGCCCCCAGCAGAAACTGGCTGATGGAACCATGGGGTGCTGTCCACTGCAAGCCTCCCATGGCTCCCAGGGAAGAGTGTGTCAGGGGCTATGGAAAAGGGATGATGATGAGGAGGAGGCTGAGGGTCAGTATCCAGACCTGAGAGGTCCATAGGACAAGGTAGGGCAGAGGATAGACCAGGAAGTGGGGCTAGGACAAGAGCCAAGGAAAGCCGTAGGTGGAGGGCCAGAGGCCTACAGTCTCTCTCTTTGAATCCCTGTTCCACCCTTGGACTTTCCCCCTCCTGCCTTGTTTTCCTGGAGTACTCCCCTCTTCCCACCCACCTCCATCATCATTCTAAGATCCCCACTCCAACCATCTTTCCTATGAACCCACAGTTCCTCTCCTCTCCTCCTTTCTCCTACCACCCAGACCCAATGTCAGCCCAATCCTTCACTGGCCCCTCAATATCTAGCCCATCTCTCAAGTAGTCCTGATGGTCCCAGCTCCTCCCTGTCTCAGGAAAAGCAGACTCCAAGATGTACCCATAATGCCTTGGTAGATGATGGGGTCAGAAGGCTTGCCCCCAGGGGGGACCCCACGAAGTGACAGCTCATAAGGGGATCCAGGAGGGGGTGGGGGCACCAGAGCCTGGCGGATGTCCCCTGGCAGAAGTTCCTCATGTGCTCCTGGCCCCTCAGGTACTCGCAGGTGCAGCTGGAAGTGGGCAAAGGTGTCGGGCTGGGCGGTCCAGGCCACACGGAGGCGTCCTGTCTCATCTCTGCCCAGCACCTTCAACTCTCCCAGCTCCTGGGGGCGCTGCTGCAGGAGAGGGGCCCGGGCCCCTTGGGTCGTTGAGGGGCCTGAAGGAGGAGGCTCATCGGTAGCCCCCAAGAGGCCCGAGGGTGAGGACCCTGGGAAGGGGCAGGACAAGAAAAAGAGAGTCCAGTATGAGAGCCAGAAAGGAATCCTCAGTCCCTAGATTCTGCCCTCCAGCCTCAAAGCCATAGAGACCCTCTCCTTTTTCTACCCCTGGTTCCACCACCTGGGCTGCCCCATACTGCCAAAGGTCTGCCAGTCCTCCAAGTGCCCCAACTACACATCACTGAACAGACAGGGCAGGTAATAAGTAAAATTCATTAAGCCTGCTATCCCTCCCTGCACAAGGTTTCTATGACTTCCAGTCCCCAGAGACATCCATGTCCCTTCCCACACACTTCCACCTCCCCACTGCATGGTGGTCGGGTGGCTTCCATTAGTGCTGCAGTGAAAGCCTGGAAGAAAGGAGGAGACAGTGGTGTTAGGAAGAGAGGATGCAAGAGGAAAGTGGGTAGTGAGAGAGAGGAAAGAGAGGATGTGGGGGCAGACGTCCAGGTCAGGTGGCATCTGGGCCCTATGGGGGAAGAAGAGGTCCACCACCCTTTCCACAGCAGCCACAGAACTCCCTTTCCCCAAGCCTGGGCATTGTTCCTGTGGGAGAGACCAGTGTAAAATGAGCCAGGAGGTCTGAAAAGGCAGCTCAAGAAGCAGTGGTTTCACCCCCTACATGCTGCCTGACTGCTTCAAAGTCATCCCCAAGCAGTTCCGATGTGTCCCTTCAAGGTGAAGGACAAATTGTGGAAAATAGCAACCACTGACCACAGTCTTCAGCCACCCTCACCACAATGAGTCAGAGTGGGAATTGCTGGTTTCAGTCCCCACACATTCAAACTGCGCCAGTGAAGCCTTGCAGGTGCCCCACCCCCACCAATGCCCCTTCATTGCCGAGAACAGCAATCCTGACAGAAGTGCCCTGGGAATCCCAAGTAGGAGGCTGTCTTGGCCATAAGATATCCACAGGTGATGCCAAGCCTGTGGGAGTGGCTTCTAGGGACACAGGAGGACGTGATTTGTTGTAGGGGTTCCCTGTAGCCTGGGCCATTTAGGGCCTGAAGGTAGACGGGTGTGGTGGGGCACGGCAGTCTGAGGGGTGAGGCAGCGGGAAGAACTCAAGGCACTCCGACGGCAGGTGAGGCTGGACAGAGGTTGGGTGGTCCCGGAGCCCCAGCCCACGCTACCTGTGGTGGTGATGAAGGCGTAGGACTTGGAGGTCTGCCCCGCCCGCACCCCGTGGACCTCCACGTGGTAGGTGGTGCCGGGCCTGAGGTCCGGAAGGCTGACGGTGCGCGTGGTGCCGGGCACGGCCAGCTCACCGCCGGGGCCCTCTGCGGGCGGCTGGGGCCGCCAGCGTAACACCACGCGCTCGAACTGGCCGCGGAGCCCGTCGAGGGACACAAGAAGCGCGCCGTCGGCCGAACTGCCCAGCACCTCGGGCTTGGGGTGGCGGGGCGCAGCCACCTGGTCAACGCCTTCTGGCGATAGGCCATAGATGCCCTGGTTGGAGTCCCGTTTCCTGGTGCTTGGGTCAGGGCTGGCGGTGGGGCGTGGGCGACCGGGCTTGGGGGCGGGGGAGCCGGCGGGGGCGGCAGCCGCCAGACGCCGCTGCAAGTATTCGTGGATGTGGCGCGCCACCGACGAGTAAGTCTGGTTGGCCCGCAGAGGGTAGCCGTGAGCCCGCAGGTGGCGCTCCAGGTCCTGCACTGTGCCGCGGAAGCGGCCCAGTTCGGCGGTCAGGTTGCCCCACGTCCGCCGCGGGGGTTGGGGCAGGCTGGGCCGGGGGGGGCGGGGCTCCGACCCCTCCTCTGCAGGCCGCGAGGGCCGAGGGGGCTGTGGGGGCCGCGGGGCCGGCCGAGGCCGGGGCTTGGGGGGCGGGGCTGGAGGGCGCACCTCCGGATAACTGTAGTGGCTTGGTGCTGCCAGGGGTGAAAAAGGGGAAAGGGAGAACAGGTCAGTGGCAGCTCCCCCTGCGCTTCTCCCCACGGCAGCCCCTCCCTCTATTCCTGTGTCCCAGTCCCACCTGGAAAGAGAAACACGAGAAATGAAGTCAGTGTCCTGGAAACCCCCCTTACCCCCCTCCAAGCCCACCACTGTTGGTGCCCTAGAAAGAAGAGCGAAGCCAGCGGGTTGGGCCCTGTATCTGAAGGAGAGAAAGGGGAGGGGGTAGAGAACGTGAGCTACAGCAAGGTGGATATCCCCCTGTCACAGGAAAAGAAAGGAAAGATTCGGGCATCTGTTAAGAAACCTTGAGGGTTAGTGGAAAATTCCTGCTGTGATACCCAACTTCCAGCAATACCAATCAATCCTAATGTCAGCGGGACGGATGATCTTTGACCTGCCTAATTCCAGTCCCCAAAAGATCTGTCAGCGCACGGGTTGTCCTTGTACCTAAATTGAGATAAGAACCCCCTTCATCTGAGTGGATCAGACAGCATCGCCTTATCTCCTGTTCACTGCTTCTTTCCCTGGGCCAGTTCTTCCCATAGTCAAACCTGCAAACTGTCTTCAGGACAGAGTGAGGACCCCAGAAGGTGCTTTGAGACTGCCAGGCACCCTGCCAAATGCATTCAGAGGAGCCTGTAGGTGCTAGGCCTGGGCTCCTGAGGAGGGGGCTCCACATTTTGGAAATCAGGGCCCTTCCCTAACCTCTAACCAGCCATACCTGTGTTGGCCCTGACAGAAGTTGGGTAGCTGACTGCCCGGCCCCGCTCTGCTGTGACAGTCACCACATACTCCACGCCTGGCATCAAGTCAGTCAGCAATGTTCCATCTGCTTCAGGGGGCACTTCCAGACGCACCCTCTGGTTGCCAGCACTGACATAGGACACCACAAATCGGTCCACCTCAGCCTGAGGGCGCAGCCAGTTGAGCTCCAGTGTGGTTGGTGTCACAGCCACCACTCGGAGGTCCTGGGGACCATCGATCACTAGTCAGGTTAGAAAGAGGAGGGCTCATGTGGGTGTCTGGTTCTTAAGTCATTAGCTGTGCTTCCAAGAGCCTACCCACAATCCAGTTCCTCCCCCCCTCCTCCTGGAGGGCAGATTGCCTCTCTAATCCAGGTCTCCACACACAATCCCACCCCCACAGCCCCAACTCTTACTAGTGGTGATGGTCTTGGAGGCAGGAGGGCCCCAGCTGGTCCCTTGAAGGGCACGGACCGTGACCTGGTACTCTTGGCCAGGGGCCAGTCCTCTCTGGTCATAGGCTGAGGCAGAACTAGGCACCCGTGCTGTGAATGGGGGACTTATCCCCTCTGTCTGTGAGAGAGAGCACCAGGTGGCTTAGGGGCTGACACTCTGGCCCCTGCTACTCAATCCCTCTTTACCTCTCCTTTCTCCAGTTCCAAACTGGAGACTATGGAACTCGGCCTTATACAAGCTGGGGAGGAAACCAGTAACAGCAAACACTCAGAGGGCACTTATTGCATACTAGCCACTGTTCTAGGCAATTTACATATATGAGCTCACTTAATTCCCACAATGACCCTATGAGATAAGTCCTATTAGTCCCATTCACAGCTAAGAAAACAGGCACAGAAGGACAAGTATCTTGCCAAGGTCACTGATGCCAAGAAAGTAGCAGAAATTTAAGCTCTGGCAGTGTGACCTTAGAGTCCTTTCTGATGGGCACTCCCTGTTCATCTGCCAGAATTCCATCTGACATGCACCAGGATTTGCCCTTTGACTTTCCCCCCAGACTACCTGGGCATGAGGAGGCTTATCCTAAGCTTGTTCCTTTGAGAAGACATGAAGTAAATTAGGGATGCCCCTTCAAGTCTCATTTCCTTCTGAAAGCATCTGCCTCAGCCTGAACCTCCTGGCAGATGTCTACCCGCAGCTGTGTAATTTAAGTGTGACCTGCATCATAACGTTTCCCGGTAGGGACTTTTTTTGTCTCTTCAGCAGGCTTGTAGGCTCCTCAAAACAAGCCCCTACTTCTCAGATTTCCACAAAAATGTTTCCTTATTGCTGATTTTCTATCTGGCATAATGCTGGGCATTGGAGACAGAAAAATAAAAGATAGGGTCCCTGTCCTTAGGTAGCTTAAACTCAAGTAACTAAATGTCTGTATACACCTTGAGTTTTATTAGATACTTACACAAACCTCTATGTGTAGCAAATGCCTATAAGAAAATGGCCCTCCTCCAAGTGTACATTTAAGGTATTGTGATTATGTGTGGTTGTCCTGGAGGAAATCAGCAGGGCCGATGCTCCAGTTAGGTTGCCCTGAAATGCCAACTGCCGGGGAAACAGGAGGAACTGGACATCTGATTTCACTGGGCTGTCCAGCTAGGACAGCCTCTTAGGACACTCTGTTCTGCTTAGCTATGTTGGCCGTGATGGGGACACCTTCATTCAGCCAAGTAGGATTGGAAATTTCAAAAGGTACTCTCCTAAACCAAGAGAACTGTGGGGAAATCAACACAGTAAATACCAAAGTATAAAACCAGATGAGAAGGCCACGTAGAGATTTCTGGGTTGAGGGTGAAATAAAACTTTGTTAGTTTTCTGGGCTGAAGAGGTTCCTGGGCACACAGGACCTCTATCCTTCTTCTATTCACCCTACCTTAGGGTACCTCAGCCTGGGAAGCCTTGGTTTGGCTTATGAAATTCTCAGGCATCCTGAAATTTACTTGTTCATTCTCTGTGTCTCCATCTCTCCCCGACCCTTTTAAATTTCAGGTTAATATGAGGGTATAAACAACTAGGTTACAATATTTGCATTTGTTAAGTAGAGTCTCTCTTGTTGTTGTGTCCCCTTCTCTCCCTTTTTGTTACCACAATGCCTCTCCCCAACACCTTGGATGCTCTCTGATGATGTCTGGTTCTTTCAGTCTATCATCAAGGCAAGTCTATCACCAGAGTTCTCTTTCTCCCTTCAGACCAACCTATATTTACATATAGACACCTTGGCTCCTACTGAAATTCATTTGGGAACTGTCCCTTGAAAGCCTGCTCTCTTAATCCCTGTCTCCCAGCACCATCTTGCTGATCTGGGGCAGGCTCTCTAGCCAGGTGCTGGCACCTGGCTCTGCCCCTTGGATAAAGCTTGGCTGCTTCACAGACTTTGTTCTTGGAGAGTTTTTTTCATTATTCTCAGTATCAGCCTTGTGGCTCCAGATAGAGGACTACACCTTGGATGTTCCCTGGAGCTTCCTTCACCCTCATCTCCCTTTTTAGACAAGCAAAAACATTTCTGAGGCTGCATGCCCTTATGTGTCAATGAACACTTGACCTAGCCCTCATTTCAAGGCAAGGAATACCTGCATCTCTTTCTGATTCAGAGGCTTACCTCCCTCAGTTTCCCTATGCTTTCTCTCACATTTATAGAGGAGCTAGCATTTTCAAAATGGCAACATTTCTTCCTTTCATTTTTTTTTTTTTTTTTTTGAGACAGAGCCTCACACTGTCGCCCTGGGTAGAGTGCTGTTTCATCACAGCTCACAGCAACCTCCAACTCCTGGGCTTAAGCGATTCTCTTGCCTCCACCTCCCAAGTAGCTGGGACTACAGGCGCCCACCACAACGCCTGGCTATTTTTTGGTTGCAGCCATCATTGTTGTTTGGCAGGCCGGGGCTGGATTTGAACCTGCCAGCTCAGGTGTATGTGGCTGGCGCCTTAGCCACTTGAGCCACAGGCGCCAAGCCAGTGGTAACATTTCTTAAAGTAGTGGTCTTCAAGCTTGAGGTGCCCCAGAATCATTTGGAGGGCTTGTTGCAACACCAGCTGCTGGGCTTCACCCCCAGATCTTCTGCCTAGTAGATCTGGGGACAGAGTCTGACAATTTGCATTTCTAACAAGCTCCCAAGTGATGCTGATGCTGCAGATCAAGGAATACACTTTGAGAACCATTGAGTCACAATACCAATGCTATATATGCAAGGAGAGGAGGAACATTCCTTTTCTGCATTCTGAAAATAATTCCAGTAACTAAGTGTGTCTTTTGGTCAGGATTAGTAGAGTTTGAGCTTTGAGAAGTAAATGCTTCTGGGAAGATGGCAGCAGCTGGCAGGCAGCCAGCTATTGAATATACTCCATGCCAACAGAAATGCACAGAGCACTGGCTAAGTAAGGCAAAAGGTACAGAGCATGGCAAATGAGCCAAGAACAGGGCCAAGTCTGGCACAAGCCAGTGGCATACCTGGCTTTGGGTGAGGAAGCCTTGAGGTTTAACTAGAAAGCAGCACCCTTGAGAATGCCCAAGGATGAGTTTATATTTATTTACTTAGAGCAGAAGATAACTGCTGCCCTGAAAGTTCCTCTTATCTTGAGTGTTTATTTTAATTCTTCTTCCCTTGAACTTTCTTAGGAAAGTTTCTTTTAAAAGTTCCACCCCGTCAAGATTAGAGCTATATAAATAATATACACAAAGAAGAGGAGAGTGGGAGAAACACTTTATAATGTTAGCAGTGCTTGTCTTAGTGTGGAGCAGCCAAGAATTGTTTTTCTTTTCTCCAGTTGCCAAATTTTTGTCTCGTGATTAAATTATTTTTATAACAACAACAAAAAAAATGTTTAAACGGAAGAAAAAATCCAAGCTATCTTGGTTGCACCACAAAGTAGGGATTTATGCCTCTGCTTTGGCTAAAAAATAAGGAGAGACAGAACATGGTAGAGGTCTGGCCTGAGGGTATAATGGGAAGACCAGGCAAGGTGTTATAAGGATGACGGACAGCACTTCTGAGCTGTTCTTGTCTGTCTGTCCTAGTGCCTTCTGAGGTTTTAGGTCCAGGGATGCATGCATTTTTCCAGAGTCCTGTCTAGGCTGATGAAGATGAGAGTAGCATGGCCCACATGCTATGGTATTAGTGGGATGATTGAGGAAAACATGAGTTAGATGGAGAAAATGTCAGATGATTTGGAACTGGGGAAACGGCCATATCCTAAAAGCCAGCTCTGCATAAAAGGGGGTCACTAATGAGAGGCCACAGGGCTTTGTCCTTAGGGTGCCCCCCTAATGTTTTAAGAGTAAGTTGGAGGGAGACAAAGAAAAATGTTTTGCAATGTGCTGATGACATGGATGTGGGAGAACAAGTTCACAGACTCAAATTATTGCAACAGCCTAGACAGCTTGGCCCAAACCAAAAAAGATAACATTGAACACAGTCAAATGCAAAGGCCTATATTTAGGCTGAAAAAGTGTGTACAGTTGAATGTTGTTTTCCTTTCTCCCTCTCTTCCTTCCTTCCATTTTTTTCCCTTGCATGTCTGTATTTTCTAAATTTTCTGCATTGGGCCTATGTAACTTTTATAATAAAAAGTTACTTTAAAAACCAAATACCTGACAGTTTGTGTAATGATAAGTTAATATATGCCAACTCTGAGAAAAGTGCCAATGACTCCAGAATTAGCCAGTGTGTTCCCTTCTACCCTTACTTTTTTGGGGGGGGGCAGGGGGAAGAGGCATTTAAAAAGCAGGAGGCACAGGAAGGTGAAGAATTCCGAGAACAAAGAATTAGGGGAAAGGAAGAAGACACCAGGGTGTTTTGCCTGGGGAATGAAGGGTGATGTGATGGCTGATGTTTCTAAATACCTGAAGGCCTGTGTGCAGGAAACAGGGAAAGCAAAAAAAGTTCTAACTGCTGGTGAATTCCCAGACAGGGCCAATAGACAGATGTTAAGATGGGGCAGATTTGGATTCAGCAACAACAAAAAGAACTGACTCACAGTGATAACCAAAAATGGATTGAACTGCCTCAGGAAGTACTGAGCTCACTGACACCAGAGTGTTTCAACCACACAGGACCAACACTTGCTGGAGATGCTGCAGGTGCCTTCATGCCCAGGAGAAGGCCTTTACAGCAGCTTCAGGAACACAGCCACCTGGACTCAACCACTGATTATGTGAAACTTTCTGCAGGAAGTGAGCACTCCCCCCCCACCCCCCGTCCTGCCCGCTCAGCCCTCTCTTGGAGTCTGGCATCTCCCTCACCGTGGGGATGAACTGAATTTCGTAGGCATCCACAGGGCCAGGGACCCGGGTCCACTCTGTCCGAACGGTCGTCTCCTCGAGAAGGTGCATCCTCATGCCCTCAATGGCTGGCATCTCTGCCCAAGAGAAAGGGGCAGAAAAAGCTGGTTAGCCCAAGGCAACCACCCCTGAACCCCAACACCATAGACTTCTTTTTTCAGGGCCACACCAAGAGGCGGGTCCCAGCTTTCCCTTCTCTCTGCTGGTGGGGAAAAGCTAAAAGAGGCCTGAACAGGACTTATGTCTCCTTTACCTCCCACCATCTCCAGGAACACAGAATTTCCCTACATCCAATGAAAGGGGCACTCTGCCAGCTCTTCAGAGATCTGAAGGCCATTCCTACCCCCACCATGCTCCCATGGTTCTGCTGCCCCTGGTGGACACCGGCTCCTCCGACTAACACCCCGCCACCTATACAGATTTCCCTCCACTCTTCTTACAGGTCCCTGAGCCCCTGGGCCTGTTCCCAAAACTCCAGTTGCTGACCTAGCATATTGGGGCAGGCTCCCAGCTCACCTTCCCCACAGTCTTCCCCAGCGTAGCCTTCTTGGCAGATACAGCTGCCCTGGCGACACTCTCCCCTGCCACGGCAGTCTCCTGGGCACGTCTGGATGGCACAGTCAGGACCTCGAAAGCCCTCTACACACACACACTTGCCTGCCTGGCACAGTTCTCGAGGCCCACAGCCCCCAGGGCAAGCGCTGGCAGGAGGCTCTTCTTGCCCGCAGTCCTCACCGCTATAGCCTGCGTGGCACATGCACACACCCTGCACACAGCGCCCACGACCCCGGCAATCAGCTGGGCAGGTGCGAGTGGCACAGGCAGGGCCAGTATAGCCAGGGTCGCACACGCAGCGCCCGTCCTCACAGCGGCCGCGACCGTGGCAGTTAGAGGGGCAGGTGCGGATGCTACAGTCCTCGCCTGTGTAGCCCTCCCAACAGATACACACACCGTCGTGGCACACGCCATGCTGGCTGCAGTCGCGCGGGCACCGCCTCACACTGCAATCCTCGCCAGAGTAGTCCTCGTCGCACATGCAGCGCCCGTCCAGGCACTGGCCGCGGCCTCGGCAATCCCCAGGGCAGCTTCGCACGCCGCAGTCCTCGCCTGAGTAGCCCGCATCACACACGCACACGCCATCCTCACAGCGGCCGTGCCCACGGCACTCTCCTGGACACCGACGGCTCCCACAGTCATCTCCGGTGAAGCCTGGGTTGCACATGCAGCGGCCATCCACGCAGCGCCCCCGCCCGCGGCAGTCACCAGGGCAGGCGCGTGTGCCGCAGTCTCGGCCTGTATACCCGGGCCAACACATGCAGCGCCCATTCTCACAGCGGCCCCGTCCCCGACAGTCTCCAGGACAGCTGCGCACGCCGCAGTCCTCGCCGCTGTAGCCCGTGTTGCACACACACACGCCATTCTCGCAGCGCCCGCGGCCTCTACAGTCGCGTGGGCAGGCGCGAGCGCCGCAATCGGGCCCGGTATACCCGGGCCAGCACACGCAGCGGCCGTCCTCACAGCGTCCCCTTTGGTTGCAGTCGCCAGGGCAGCTGCGCACGCCACAGTCGTCTCCGCTATAGCCCGCGTCGCAGATGCATTCGCCGTCCTCGCAGCGCCCTCGGCCCTGGCAGTCGCGCGGACAAGTCCTCGTGCTGCAGTCCTCGCCCGCGTACCCGGGCCAGCACACGCAACGGCCGTCCACGCAGCGTCCGCCCTCGCCACAGTCCCAGGGGCAGCTCCGCATGCCGCAGTCCTCGCCAGTGTAGCCAGGGTCACAGACACAGCGCCCATTCTCGCAACGCCCCCTCTGGCTGCAGCCCCGGGGGCAGCTCCTCACCCCACAGTCCTCACCAGTGTAGCCAGGGTTGCACACGCAGCGCCCATTCTCGCAACGCCCCTTCTGGTTGCAACCACGAGGGCAGCTCCTCACCCCACAGTCTTCACCAGTGTAACCGGGGTCGCACATGCAGCGTCCGTCCTCGCAGCGTCCCCTCTGGCTGCAGCCCCGAGGGCAGGAGCGCTGGCCACAGTCATCTCCTGAGAAACCAGCTCGGCAAACGCACACGCCCTGCACGCAACGCCCGCGACCTTGGCAGTCCCCGGGACAGGAGGGCCAGCCACAGCTGGGGCCGGTGTAGCCAGGGAAGCACACGCATCGACCACGGACACAACGACCCTGATCATTACAGTCGTCAGGGCAGGACCCTGAGGCTGGGGGTTGGGAGGAGGGGGACAATCCAGCGTCTGTGGGGTCTGAGCAAGTGGGCCCATCCCAGCCTGGCTCACAGGAACAGGCGCAGCGGCTCAGGTCAAACACACCATGAAGGCTGCAGAGGCTACGCACATCTGTCTGACCTGGAGTGGAAGGGAGAGGCACTCCTCAGTTTCTCAGGGGGAGAGAGGCTGAGCCCATGTAGTGGTCCTATGGGTCAGCCCCTCTTGCAGGGCCAGCTTTATTTCATATGGCCATGTTGCTTGACTCTCAAGGCCCTAGAATATGTTTAGGTTGACATCTAGCCCAGTTCTGCTCTCCAAGCTGTCTCTGGGCTGCACCCCCTATCCCTACAGGAGAGGAAGGGGTGCCTTTTTCTAATTCATACCAAGGTTCTTTAGGGATTAGTGATGTCCACCCCACCATAACCCACCTCTGTGCCTTCCTCTTCTTCTGTACCCTTTCCTGTGATCACCTGCTCACCTGTGCCAGCCTGGGCAGCAGCAGGGCAACATCCCCCAGTGCACTGTTCCTTGAGCCCCTTCACCAGCTCCTCCAGGATCTCTAGCCGGATTCTCAGGGCCTGTACCTCTGAAGCAGGGACAGGGGGCTCAGTGCCCGGGGGACAGCCACAGCCAGTGGAAGGGGGCAGGTTAATACGGTGGGTGAATACCACCTGCTTCTCCCCTCCTTCCACTGTGTGCTCATAAAGCTGAGAAGAGGGGCTTCCTCCTCCTGTCCCCACTGTGTGGCCCCCTGGCTGAGGAGGGGGCCTTGGGGCCATGAGTGTCACATTGGACCGTGAAGAGAAGGGCCCTGTTCTGGCTGTGCCCAGTAGCACCAGGAGGGCCAAACTGGAGGTTAGAGGATACGGGGCTGGCATCATTCAGGAGGCTGCAGGGAGAGAGGGCAGGTGTGAGAGCAGCTTTGAAAAGAAGGCGACAAAATGGACCCCTTCTTCTTCAACCCACACCCACAATCCCCCTACCTACCACTAATCTATCCAACTTGTATGTATGTAAAAATTCACATTCAGCCCAACCCTAAAGTATATCCTCCCTGGGCAGATCTGTTTTCTGCCTCTCTTTCTGATATCAGTTGGTTACTCTTTTTTATTATGTTGCCCCACACTGCTTTTTTTTTTTTTTTTGAGACAAAGTCTCACTTTGTTGCTCTTGTTAGAGTGCTGTGGCATCATAACTCACAGCAACTTCAAACTCTTAGGCTCAAGGGATTCTCTTCCTTCAGCCTCCTGAGTAGCTGGGACTACAGGTGCCTGCTACAATGCCTGGTTATTTTTAGAAATGGGGTCTCACTGTAGCTTAGGCTGGTCTTGAACTCGTGAGCTCAGGCAATCCACATGCCTAGGCCTCCCAGAGTGCTAGGATTACAGGCATGAGCCACCGTGTCTGGCCTCCATACTAGTCTTTGTTTTTCTCACAAGCACTGCAAGGTCACAGTAGCCTCCAGGGCTTTCTTTGTATGGTATGTTCCCTCTGAGATGCTCTTCACTTAAAGACTGGCTCCTTCTTGTTCCAATCTAAACTCAAATGTCATCAAGAAGACTGCCATATGCCCCTTTGGAGCAGTCACCCATTACTCTCCATCACAAAATCCTGTTCTTCATGGCATTCACTGCTGCCTGACTTATCTGTATGTGTTTACTTGTTTATTATCTTTCTCCCACTACAAGAATGGGAGCTCCATAAGAAATAGGTACCTTATCTGTCATGGCACTGCTGTATCCCTGTGCCTGGCATATAAATGTTTGGGATAAATGTGCTATCCAACACATCTATGTTGAATGAATTAGTGGATGAGTATCTAAGGCCAATCCTTCCCCAAGCACCTGGATCCCCACTTCTATTATCTTCTAAGAAACTTTAAAGATTAGATTATCTTCTCTTTTATTCAGCCCCTCACTCTCAATTAGATCCTTCCTATCAGCTTTCTTTCTTTTTTTTTTTTTGGGACAGAGTCTCAAGCTGTCACCCTGGGTAGAGTACCGTGGCATCACAGCTCACAGCAACCTCAAACTCTGAGGCTCGAGTAATTCTTTTGCCTCAGCCTCCCAAGTAGCTGGGACTACAGGCATCCACCACAACGCCTGGCTACACATCAGCTTTCATAGGAGCTCAAATATCTTCTACTGAAAAAAGACTTCCTCAGCACATACTTGAGCAAACATTAAGACTTATGATAAAGTGCAAGGATAGACAGATGGAACACAATAGGGTCTAGAAACGGATCCATGCATATGTGGTCATCTGATTAGTAACAAAGGTGACACTGTAATTAAGAGGAGAGAGGACAGTCTTTTCAGTCAATTGTGCTAGGATAATTAAAAATCTATATGGTGTTTGGTGATTGTAGCTCAGCGGCTAGGGTGCTGGCCACATACACTGGGGCTGGCAGGTTTGAACCTGGCACGGGCCTGCCAAACAACTGTAACAACTAGAACAAAAAAATAGCCAGGCGTTGTGGAGGGTGCTTGCAGTCCAAGCTGCTTGGGGGGCTGAGGCAAGAGAATAGCTTAAGCCCAAGAGTTTGAGATTGCTGTGAGCTGAGTCACCATGGCACTCTACTGAGGGTGACACAGTGAGACTCTGTCTCAAAAAAAAAAAAATCTATATGGGGTAAAAACTCTATATCCTCACACAGAAATTAATTTGAGATGGAGCAAGGACCTAAATATGAGGTCAAGGCTCAGTGCCCATAGCACAGTGATTATAGCGCCAGCCACATGCACTGAGGCTGGCAGGTTTGAGCCCGGCCTGGGTCTGCTAAACGACAATGACAACTGCAACCAAAAAATAGCTGGGCATTGTGGCAGGCGCCTATAGTCCCGCCTACTTGGGAGGCTGAGGCAAGAGAATCACTTAAGCCCAAGAGTTGGAGGTTGCTGTAAGCTGTGACTCCATGGCACTCTACCCAGTGCAACAGCGTGAGACTTTGCCTCTAAAATAAAATAAAATAAAATAAAACTGGCTCGGTGCCTGTGGCTTAAGCGGCTAAGGGGCCAGCCACATACACTTGAGCTGGCACGTTCGAATCCAGCCCAGGCCCACCAAACAACAATGACGGCTGCAACCAAAAAACAGTCAGGTGTTGTGGTGGGCGCCTGTAGTTCCAGCTACTTGGGAGGCAGAGGCAAGAGAATTGCTTGAGCCCAGAAGTTGGAAGTTGCTGTGAGCTGTGACACCATGACACTCTACTTAGGGCAATAGCTTGAGGCTCTGTCTCAGAAAAAAAAATTCCTAAAATAAAATAAAACCTAAAATAAAGAACTCTACAAAACAAGCAATAGTCAGGAAACTGGCTCAGTGCCTGTAGCTCAATGGTTAGGGTGCCAGCTACATATACCCCGGCTGGTGGGTTCAAACCCAGCCTGGGCCAGCTAAAACAACAACAATAACAACAACAACAACAACAACAACAACAACAACATAGCCAGGCATTATGGCAGGGGCCTGTAGTCCCAGCTACTTGGGAGGCTGAGGCAAGATAATCACGTAAGTCCAAGAGTTTGAGGTTGCTGTGAGCTATGACACGATGGCATTCTACTGAGGGTGACATAGTGACGCTCTGTCTCAGAAAAAAAAAGTCAGGAACCCCAGTTTTTTTAATTGGCAAAAGACTTAAACAGGTACTCCAGAAAAGAATATATCCAGAAGCCCAATAAGCCTATAAAAAGCCTATATCACATTTTCAAGAAAATGCATATTAAAACCACAATGAGATGCCACTAAATATAAATGAGAATGTCTAAAATTAAATGGGCTGTCATTTCTCAAAATTGGCAAGGATGTGAAGCAACTAGAACCCTCAGCTGTTACAAATGAGAGCATATAACTGTGAAAATACTTTGATAACTGTTTGGTAGTATCCATTAAAGGCACATTATAAGAATTGCTATAACCCAGTAATTCTACTTCTTGGTAAATATCCAATAGAAATGTTGCATATATCCTCCAAAAGGCTATACAATAATGTTAGTTAGCCAAAACTGAAAACAACTCAGGTGACCACTGATAGTAGAATGTATAAATAAATTGTGGCAGAGTCACACAGCAGTGAAAAATTCCTGTTGCTACATGCAATAATATGGATGGATTACATGCACATAATAAATCAAAATAAACGAGACACAGAGAGAGAACCCTCTGGATGATGCCATTTATATGAGCTTCAAAAACAAGCAGAGAAAACCTTTGCTTTTGGAAGATAGGATAGAAATTACTTTTAGAAACAGTACTGATGGCTCGGCGCCTGTGGCTCAAGTGGCTAAGGCACCAGCCAGGTACACCCAAAGTGGCGGGTTCGAATCTGGCCCGGGCCCGCCAAACAACAATGATGGCTGCAACCAAAAAATAGCCGGGCATTGTGGCGGGCACCTGTGGCCCCAGCTACTTGGGAGGCTGAGGCAGGAGACTTGCTTGAGCCCAGGAGTGGGAGGTTACTGTGAGCTGAGATGCCACGGCACTCTACCCAGGGGGACAGCTTGAGGCTCTGTCTCAAAAAAAAAAAAAAAAAAAAGAAAGAAAGAAAAGAAACAGTACTGACTGAGAGGAGCCATAAGAGAAATTTATGGAAATATCTTGATCTGGGTGGTGGTTAAATACATGTATTCAAAAATTCATTGAGCTGTACACTTAAAATCTGTAGATTTCACTGCATGAAAGCTAAACCTTAAAAAAACTTTAATAAGACCAGGTACAGTGGCTCACACCTGTAATCTTAGCACTCTGAGAGGCTGAGGTGGGTGGATTGCCTGAGCTCAGAAGTTGGAGACCAGCCTGAGCAAGAGTGAGACCCAGTCTCTAAAAATAGCTGGGTGTTGTGGCGGGAGCCTATAGTTCCAGCTAGTTGAGAGACTGAGGCAAGAGGATCACTTGAGGCTCGGCACCTGTGGCTCAAGCAGCTAAGGCACCAGGCACATACACCTGAGCTGGCAGGTTCAAATCCAGCCTGGGCCCATCAAACAACAATGACGGCTGCAACCAAAAAATAGCCGGGTGTTGTGATGGGTGCCTGTAGTCCCAGCTATCTGGGAGGCAGAAGCAGGAGAATCGCTTGAGCCCAGGAGTTGGAGGTTGCTGTGAGCTGTGATGCCACAGTAGTCTACCCAGGGCAATAGCTTGAGGTTCTGTCTCAAAAACAAAAACCAAAAAACAAAAGAAGATTACTTGAGCCCAAAAGTTTGAGATTGCTGTGAGCTATGACGCCATAGCACTTTACTGAGGGTGACAAAGTAAGACTTTGTCTTAAAAAAAAAAAAAAAAACCTCAATAAACCATTACCCATGGATGTGGAGAAAAGGGAACACTTCTGCACTGCTGGTGGGAATGCAAACTAATATGTTCCTTTTGGAAAGATGTTTGGAGAACACTTAGGGATCTAAAAATAGACCTGTCATTTGATCCCACAATTCCTCTACTAGGTATACATCCAGAAGACCAAAAATCACATTATAACAAAGATATTTGTACCAGAATGTTTTTTCTTTTCTTTCTTTCTTTCTTTTTTTTTTTTGAGACAGAGCCTCAAGCTGTCGCCCTGGGTAGAGTGCTGTGGCGTCACAGCTCACAGCAATCTCCACCTGCTGGGCTCAAGCGATTCTCCTGCCTCTGCCTCCCAAGTAGCTGGGACTACAGGCACCCGCCACAATGCCCGGCTATTTTTTGGTTGCAGCCGTCATTGTTGTTTGGCAGGCCTGGGCTGGATTCGAACCTGCCAGCTCAGGTGTACATGGCTGGCACCTTAGCCACTTGAGCCACAGGCGCCAAGCCTGTACCAGAATGTTTATTGCAGCCCAATTCATAATTGCTAAGTCATGGAAGAAGCCCAAGTGCCCATGGACCCACAAATGGATTAATAAATTGTGGTATATGTAC